TCGTTTCTTTAAAAAAGTATGGAAACAGAAAAAACCAGTCATGATGCCAAATGTAAATATGATTGTACTTAAAACAAGTAACAATTTAACCCTACGAGCTTCGTTTAGCTTAATACTGAATAGGTGGATTAGTTGTATAAATTAGTGAACGGAGAGTATTTCATCGACACCTTAGCATTCTGAAGCAATATCTAATTGAAGTACCGTATAAAAGCGTTTATTAGACACTATCAGTATTTCATCTTTTTGCAAGTGAACACTTGGAATATATGGAACTGGTCACAACAACAAAGACGATATTTTACATTCTCGAATGATAATTTCAATCTTTATTACTGTTCAACTATGTTTTTTTTACAGATCTCAATGAACATTTTCATAACCTGAAAGTAGTATTTGTTTGCTTTGACCAATTGATAGACTGCATTGTTTTCAACTACAAAATCTACTCAGTTCCGTAAATGATAATAAGGGAACCCTTAAATACGACTGATGTAAAAATTAAGTAGTAGTGGGTAAAACATGATATATTAATCATCTACTTGGGATAGAGAAAAAACAAGATCATACCCCAGTTCAGTGACTAATGGAAAATGGCAATTAAAATGCATTTCGACCATTAACTGAATTATTTGGACCATTTTATGTTTATCGAGTCTATTTTTTTCGAAGCTTTGAGCTAGTTTATTTGTTTATCATTTCTAAAAGTTATTAGGATCACTGGTATTCGCTTGCCAGCATTCATATTTTACACAAATTTCAGCATATAATTCGGAATTCACACTTAGATTCGATGGATATTTTTGATCGTGATAGGGCCAAACTTTGGAATAGTAGGAGACAGTTAGTTTTTGGCTGATTTTTTACAATAAAGCTGACAACTCTCATGCCACAAAAAGATTGAACTCTTTACAATAACAAGTGAATATGAAATTTTTTTCTATGACTACCGAATGCCTGTGATTAACAATAGCACAATCTCTTTTTAAAGACAGTGAGTTTTATTTTTGCCGGCAAAAATGTGAAATATGACAAAGGAAACTGACCTAACACTTGTTTTCTGACTGACGAAGAAGAAAAGTGACTTTAGAATAACGAATTATAATGAGTTTAACAAAGTTAATTGGAATTTGTTTTTTAAACAATTTAATTTTTCTTTTGTCATCTATAATGTCTGAAAAATGATCATTACTATACATGGAGAGTGGTGGGTGGGTGGGTGAAGTCATTCGATGAGTTCTCAGTTCAATGGCAGACACCCGCACCCAAATTTATTTGAAAAAAGAGATTGGAAGAGCAGCGTTTATGAGTCTACTGAATTGAAAATCGTTGGACACGATGATTATGATCGTCGACGATATAGAGATTGCCATGACGATCGAAAGACAAACCAATGAGACGATTGAACTGATTTGCTCCTTCTCCTTCACCATTTCCACCCACAATGACAGTGCCCTGTGTTGCTCCTTTAGGCCAACGCATGACACGATGATTCGTCGAGTCTGAAACAGAGAGGGTACCCAACGTATCGAGGACGAGTCCTTCAGGATGATGCAAGTGTGTCAGAGCACTCCCTTCGCCTTGACCTCCGGCGACGACAGTACCTTCTGTTGCACCTTTATTCCATTTCATTACACGATGATTGTTGTGGTCTGACACGTAGACAGCCTGTTGTCGATCGACAAAGATGTAACCAGGCCCATTGAGTTGATTGCAATCAGCACCTTTTCCATTTCCACCAGCAACGAGAGTGCCATTCTTGTCACCTATCTGATATCATCGGACTTCATTTTTATCCCAGTCAGAGACGTAGAGACTTCTCTGATCATTCTTGGCCAATCCATAACAGTCGATGTTGTCGATGAGGATTTCGCCTTGAGTTGTGCCACTTTGACGAGGCCATCGTACAACTCGTCGATTCCCATAATCACAAATAATGAGACTATCCGTCTCTATGTCAATTAATATATCAGTTGGATATTGCAATTGATTTAATCCATTTCCTTGGTCTTTGCCACCAGCAACAATCTGTCCATTCGTTGCATCACCTTTCTTCCATTGCATGATACGACCATTCGAGCTGTCAGCAATAACCACTGTTTGATCGTCATCAACGAAGAGACCAAGAGACCAGTAGAGTTGATTAGTGGCACCCCCACCCCCGTTGCCTTTAGCAATAGTCTTTCCTTTCTGCACTGTAAAAAAAAAGAGTAGAATAATAAACCCTTGTCCTTTCTACAAATCATGCTAAACCCTTGGAGGGTTTATGACAACGCTATAAACCCTTAAAGGGTTTATGAAACGAAGGGTATATGAAAAAAAGATGATACAAGAACAAAAAGGGTTTATTAATCTGAGATTTAAGGAGAAGGGTATATGATTTTATCTTCAAGGGTATTTTAATATGCGGTTTCAATAAAAGGGTTTATTACTTTCGTACTAAGGGTATTTTATTCT